GTAAATACCTCTTTTTCAAGACTGTTTCAGATCGCCGTGCTACCTGCATAATGTTAAACTCGAAGATCTGAGAACTGAATATTTGGCAGTGCGTCCGTCAGCACGGCAGGAGTTTCCTCAAGGGAGGATAAAGTCATGAAATCAATGACTGCATCGAGATTGCGAAAAATTTATGAGTACGATATGACATTTTCAACTTTGGAACCGTTGTTGAAAATACAGCTGTTTTGATGCTTCATGGTTGAGAGCACAAAACAACATGCTTAGTCCTAGTGTCGAGACGGTACAACTGATTACAGGCAGCTATTCGCCTGATATACACAAAATACCTGAATTTTAAGCGACTAGCAAATTTACATCCGATTTTGAGCAATATTCATCTAACCGACGGAGTGTCCTTCAGAAAGGGCATGTTGAGCAATACCAGAGTAATCAGCCTGCCCGAGGCGGACTGCAGATAATTGTTCATAAATCTTCATATTCAATTTTCGGTTGGTTTTTGCAACGTATATCTTATCGCAAACCACATTCATTTAATCTCTCCTCCGAGTATATTTCTTGAATAGAAGCAGCCTCAGAATTTTGCCAGACTGGCAATAGACCAAGACCTATACTATTGAGGAATTTCCTTATTTGCTTAGACCAAAAATTATATTTGTAAGTACAGTTTACGACTAATTAGAATAAGAAATACAGATGTAGCAGTTGTCGCTGAAACTCCCTCCAGACGTCCATCGCTGTCGTAGCCGACCGGATGATGTAGTGAACAGCTACTTCAGCGGAAGAATTTCTGACACAGCCTGCTACTCGGCCGTTGTCATGGTACCCAGCGACGTACACGTCTGCCGGGGGACAAAAGGCTGCCAAAGTGCGCATATGCGTGCTCGTGCAGGAACCCAACCTGGTAGGTGCAGGTCAACTCGCTTCGCGCCGTTCGACGAAGCTAGAACTGGGTTATTCACGAACATTACAGAATAGCACCGTGACGGCGATGGACCTGTCATAAGCAATAAACGACGCTGCTATGCGTTCAGAATGATGTTTCTGTGAAACAGCCTAATGAAGCAGGAAGTTGATGTACGCGCAAATGCATGAGTATGGGTCGGAAGTGCACAGCTACGACAACACTTGTGCCGCGTTCGGCGACACGCTTCAGTGCAGCTGTCGCCTAACAAGTAATACGTACAAAAAGCACAGTCCCTGACTAAGCTGCTGTCAACACAAGACCTAACATCTGGTGTCAAGTGGGATCTGCAGGACGACTGGAATAGCGACGGAACAGCGCCACAAGTCGCTCGACACGTCATTTGTTCATGTGCCGGAGAAGCAGTGCCAGTTTTCAGAATTTGGAAGGAATATTTTGTTTGGAATTGAAACTTTTCCTACCTTACGGGTATTCGAACCAGGCGAAGTTTGTCGAAAGTTCGACGCAGTGGTAGAACTCTTTCGGCACAGCAGTCGCTGTACACTTTCCCTTGCTTCTCCTCTCTTAAAGATTTGTGTCGGTGCCATCCTACTGTTCGGTGCTGCACCAGTGGCGCTTTATACCCAACGTTGTTTATGTTTTTCCATTATGTGTAGCTGAAAATAGCATAAATTTGCTGTTACATTGTACAAGCTGAAAAAATTACGTTCGTAGAATTTGAACTGAAGCCATGAATCCGGCTCCAACAAGGCTAGTCATCCAACAGGGGGCACTAATACACCAAGTTTGGCCTTTCTTGAAGGTGATTTATCACCATGGAATACAGAAATCATTGCAGTCCTTGATCTGGACTGAATAATAAGCACTCATTCATCGATCCGTTTTAATTTATTTTACAATAAATCAAAATGCGTATTCATTTAAATAAATTATTAACGAAATTTAATTTCAAACCATTGCCTCGTTCCACTTGAATTTTCTTCAAAAGACACGCCACTAATTTTAATCGCACAATTCAGTTTGATTTTCATCATGAATCGATGCGACTTGATGGCTGTGGTTTGTTTTGTTGAAAATTAGCAATTCATGTGGTTGAGCGTTTCAATGAAAATGTCATCGTCGTCATTATGGACTATAGAAATTGAGCGTTATGCAAAACTTCATGTTAAAACACGAGTAGATGGGAGTTACGCTGTCTTGAAAAATCTAATGACGCAGTTCGTTTCAAATTTCTACCATTTCTACCTCTACGCTGCCTCATTATGAACTCTGAAGGACAATCGTTGAATGGCAGGTGCGAAACACGATCGCTGTCTCCCCCCGCTCCATTTGAAAACCTGGAAAGGACTGCTAATTTTATGTTTCGCGCCCGACTGATGAGGTGACGGTTCTTCATTTGGTTTTGATTGTCTTCCCGCAGGTGCGGGTCGGTGAAACGTAGCGAAGGCCGTTTGCTGTAAGGGGTCGGGTCGGTTTGTGCTTTGCGAGCGCCAATTGGCCTAACGTTGTCAGGTGGCTAGCCCGTTCGGTTATCTGAGAAGAGGAAAGCGGCAGAATAAGGCGTTTCGTCGAAAATGCAATCGCGGATCAACCAATCATCGGTTATGCACGAGTTCTCGGTCTTTGGCGACGGTCAAAAAGTGCGTTCCGTCTCGTTTCGGCTCGTCGCCGTTGCGCATCTTCTGCGAACTGGTCTTTCCCCGCATCAGCGACCGCTTTCGCCACTGTCGCTGGCCGCCGTGACCGGAAGAGGGCTCAGAACTTACTGTAAGTTACCGGTTCGAGTCAGTCGTGTGAGGGTGAAGCGGCGTATGCGAGGGTCAATGTCAAGCTTCCGCTTGGCTGGTCGACACGACGATATGTGAGCAAGTGAGGTGAACAAACAGTCCGTTAACCTTCGTGTAAAGGTCGGCTGTCCTACGGTCTGTCGCGTTGTTCATCTCCTTACCCGCTGGGTGTGCCGTCTGCCACCTGCTCAGCATCGAAGCAGAAACGAACGCAGCCGTTCGTCGCGGTCACGCACACCGCGTGCGCCACCGCACCGAAAGCTTCGCCTGGTACGGCTGACGAACCGTGAACTTTTGTAACATATCCAAAGTTGCCATGCGGCGCGGCGTCGCGTCCCAACCTACCACCGGAGGTTACGGTGCTGGTGTGGCGTGCGGTGCCGTAATCGTAGCTGTGAAAACGGTGGACGTGGTGTTCGGGTGGGTGGGCGTGGCCATCGGCATGCGCGAACGGCTAATTGAAAAATAGACGGCACAGGCGGCTGACGTCTGCAACGGCGACCGTAACGGTTGTATGATTGACCGTAGCTGAGTGGCGGCAATTCGAAAATGAGACGGTTATTCGACCGCTGGCCGGAGATGTTTTCATTTTTTTTATAAGTGAAGCGTTCTTCAACCGGTATCGTCATCGTAGTCTGACAGTCGTGGTCGTGGTCGTCGTCATGTCGTCGTCGTAGCTCTACGCGGTTGCGGTCAGTCGACGGTCACATGGGCAATTGCTGTGTAAGGCGTACGTAAGAACGTGTGTGGCGTCTGTTCGGTAGGCGTCACTGAAATGCTTCCGTATACGTGTGGACCAAGAATACGAGGCGCGCACGAATTTGCGGAAAGTTTTTATTTCTGAACGAATACATGGATCAAGCACACGCCGTCCTATGCCACAATTCGCACACATCTCCGCAAACGGCGACGGCATACGACCAACAGCGGCCAGGCCTCACCGTACGCACCGCACATCAC